CCATGTCAACTTGTACATAAATGGAGTTAAATATTTTATTGTGTTGATTGCTGTTCATAAACAATGATAACAAATTGCTTTGGTAAAAGGTATGTTGTGTTTCTTGATGCAGGACTCATGTGTGCTTAAGAGGGAGCTTGTTCATGTTGGAAAAAGCAAAAAAACTATTAGTTTCATTAAAAATTTAAAAAAAATAGAGTTCTCTGAGTTGCTAATTTAATTTTTTTTATACATACTAATTTAATTTTTGTATCCATGTTTTTATGGTTTTTTCTTTTGAATTGATGCCAATTGTCTCTTTCTTAAATAAATTCCTAAATCATCAAATGGTGTCTTTTTTATTATAGGCTTATTGTCAAAATCCACTAGTCTTTAGAGAATAATAGGCTTTTTGTTGATTTGATTGCACTACCGCATTGCATTTGATATCCATTTGTCAACTAAATGTGCTGGAAGCTTCTACATTATAAGGTAGAGTAGCTATATTAGGATCTAAAAATTCAAGACCTGCTTACTGCTAAGCACATGAAAGGTGGAGGACAGTTTTACCAGAAAAAAATAGCTTTCGTACTGAATATTCCTTTCACTCCATTTCTCATTCTCCATAATCTTGTTATGTTTGCTTATATGAAAAATTCTATCTTCTTGTGATGCTGGTTACTTGTATACAAGAGACATAGCATAAATGTATTCATAATAACAAAATTCAACTGTGTTTGACCCAAAAATTCCAACATTTCGTTTTATACCAACATAATTAAGGACTAATACCAATCTGGTTACGTTTTATTATATGCAGTTTGCTAGCATCCCCAAATCATAATTGTTTGGATATTTTTAAAATAGAAATAAGTGGAAGATGAATTTGTGAAGGATACTTCTTCAACTCTGATAATGAAGAGATAAATTGGACTGTGAGAGGGATCAATTCAAGCTATTCTTGGAAATGTTAATATAGAATTATGCTGTGTATGGTTTCATGTAAATGATTGCTATGCCTTTCACTTTACTCTTTGGCCTTTGATTTTAAGGCTAACATTCAGATATATTATTCAGTCAATTGTCCATAACTCTGTTTTTAATGTCAATCTGTGAGATTTAGTTTGTGATTTTCTCATATTTGCTTTATTGTCAGCAAAATTAATTACCCTTTTTTTAATCAATATTAGAGAAAAAAAGGAAATGTTTCCGATTGTTATTGCCTTTTTTTGTTTCTTCCTCGTTTGAACCTTTAGGAAAAAATAAAAAATAAAAGTGTTGTTTTGCTATGTGATATGATTATTTATTTATTTTCTGAAGGAAGAAGATAACAAACAATACACAGGAGATGGCACAGTTGACTTTAGAGGCCGGCCTTTTCTTAAGCAGAATACGGGAAATTAGAGAGCTTGTCCCTTTATCCTAGGTATGCTTTTACATTGTTATTATATATTAAGTAATCCATTTTTGTTTATATCATCTTTATGCATGCAAATCACAGGCAATGAATGTTGTGCACGTTTGGCTTTCTTTGGCATTGCAACAAATCTTGTTACCTATCTTACAACCAAGCTACATGAAGGAAATGTCTCTGCTACAAGAAATGTCAGCATTTGGCAAGGCACTTGTTATCTTACTCCTCTCATTGGAGTTGTTCTAGCAGATGGTACATATTACATGATAAATATTGAGTGCATTAATGGTCAAAATGTTCTAATTAGGCAACTAATTATAACTAAAAGTCTACAACCTTTTCATTTTGTAGTTGTTCTTTTACCATATGATACATATTAATTCTGCATAAGATGAAGTAGATGATGGTATTTGAGCAAGAAAGCACCTTGTTGAGTATGAATTTGTAAAATCCTTGTAGTCTCTATTATGTGGTCTGAAGTTTGTAAGGTATGCATGCCATTAATCAGAAATTGTGTGAATGATGTCTTATAATTGTTTATGAAATATAATTTACATATCACATATATGCATACTTAACCCTGTTACTCTTTTGTAACTTTAGGTTGGAGGGAGAGATTCAACAAGGCAAGACATGGGAGGCAAAAACTATGGAGCAGCAGGTCCTGTAAACATTCATTACACTCTGACTTGAGTACTATACATATATATATACCCATCTAAAATCTTGTCTACATACAAGGAACATGTGGTTTTTTCATTCCTTTTTAAATGTTTGGGCTTATTTAGTCAAGCTTAAGTTGGATTCGTTCAGGCAATTACAGTAACAAAGGTGAAAGCGCGCGGTGGCATCTCTAAAAAGAATACTAGCACCAATTATCAGAGCGGTGGCATCTCTAACCAATTGGTGTATCAACCTCAGCTTATCAGGTTCTTCTCTTTACGTTTCTTCCTTTTCATGTGAGAATTCCATTAATTTGATTTTGTTGCTGATTAAGTATTGGTGATTCATGTACATTTCATATGGTAACAAGATATGACCCAAAACAAAATGCCTACCATTCAAACTACATGAATTATTAATTGATATCACATTGGTAAGGCCTAAGGCTGCTTGTGTTGATTTAAAAATTTCAGAATACATATCTAATAACATAATAAACATATATAATGTTTTGTGGGGGTCATTTTTTAGTTACGTGCACATTTTTTTTATATGTTAATTTTAGTTAATTTTATAATGTTTTGTGTTGATTACAGGGGCACGTTGCATAAATAGAGAGAAAAGAGGTTCAGAAGAGGAGGTTGGAATTTGGGCATTTTAGGCATTTTGGGCTTATCAATTGTGAGAGAACAGCACCATTCGAAAGTGCTGATATTATTTTCTTCTTTTAAAGTTGATTCATTTTCTGTATCTAGAGCTTTTCCTGTTCATATTCTTCAGTGTCTTTTCTTTTACATGAATTCAATGTTGTACTTGTCTTTCTTTTTCATATATAATACAGAAAATCCAGAAGTTTTCTGGGCCAATTCCTCTTGTGTCTCTTTTCATTAAGTACCTACTGATCCAGTTCCCTGCAAAATGGATGACATAAACTTTGCGGCATTCAATTTGCTGAGGAAAGAAACCATGTTTAACAAGAGTGTTTGTGATAGATATGAAGAAGAGGAGTGGCATGGAATAATATTGCATTGAAATGTTAACATACAAAAAAGCATGTGCACGTAACTAAAATTGACATATTATTTTTCACTAAAATTAACATAATAAACCTCTCGTAAGGTCTGTTTTTTTTTTTTAAATAAAATAAACATGTTGTGGAGGTCTATGCCTTCTACGAAGTGACAAATATTGTGGGGGTTTAGAACCTCCAGAAAGTGTAACATTTGTGGGGGTCTAGAACCTCCAAAATTTATTCCAACAAATTTGTGGCACTGCACAAAAAACCCCCACAAACTATGTTGTGGCGAAAGCAGAACTGGGGGTTTGGGTGAATGCCACAAATGTCTTTTGTGGGGGTCAAAAACCTCCACAATATGAAAATATGACCTCCACAAAATGCCTGAATTTTTGTAGTGCCCAACCCAATGGATTGAAGTGACAAAAAGATTATTCGAACATTTTTTTTTTAAATAAAGACCATCATAGTGTTTCTTTTTGCCTTAGTGTTGAAGCTGGCCAAATTAGGCTTTGACCTCTCAAAAAGAATCAAAAGGAGTAATCCCTTTTACGTCGTTTGATATTTATTGATATTATATTATCATCGTATTGAGAATCCACGCTAAATTTTAAAAATTAAAGTTAGGTTCCATGACTTGCTCTTTGCTTTTCTGCCCATGCGCATCAAACAAATGGTCAACCGTAAACAAAAGGACAAAATGAAAAAGATGGAAGGGCGAAGCTTTCGATGAGATTGCTGCAAAATAATTTTATTTAATTTGTATATTTAATTAGGACATATATCGAGCAATTACAATATATTAAATAAAAGTTAAAAAAATTGACTTATTAAATACGATAAAAAGTTTAATACTAATTAATTCATAAAAGTAATAAATACCAATTTGTATTAATCTTTAATATTTGTCCTTAAACAAAAAAATTATTATTCTTTTCTACCCTTTAAGTTATATAAGAAATAAAAATTATTAGATATTGCTTCGAAAAAAAATTATTAGATACATCCCTGGCCCGCAATAAATTATAGATTATTTTTTTCAACATGATAAATGGGTTTTTGAAATTAAAATATTTCCACCGTCAAAACATTCACTCTTGTAACACTTCACTTCACTTGAGGCTAAACGCAACACTTTAATTCATCATAGTGTGCTTTATTAAAAAAAAAAAAATTCCCCACAACAAATTCAAATTAATTTTTTTTTAGTTAAAGTATTTGAAAGGTTTAAAACTGATACTCGCCAACACTTCAATTCACTTCAAGCTAAACATTCCACGTAAACAACACTCGTTTTAATATATGATAATGTGATATATAGAATGTTCTTACTCGCTAACGAATTTAAATTTTTTCTTTCAATGTAATAGGTAGGTTATTGAAGTCAAGATTTTAAACTATTTTAACTTTGGCACTTGAAAAGATTTAACTCACTTCAAGCTAAACATTTCACCCAAGCACCACTTAAAAATATCATAATTGACATTTGACGAACTGTACTTAATGATTTTCGCATTCGGCGAACACTTTAACTAAAAGCTTAATGCCAAACACATTACTTACTTTAATATTTTATAGAAAAAATGTTTTTCTTATGTTACATGAGATAAATTATCTTATGCAACACACAAAAAAGTGAGTGTGAGACTCATTAAGAAAAAAATAAATTATATTCACTTTTGTGTGTTGCATGAGATAATTTTATCTCATACAACATGAGAAAAATATATCCTATTTTACAATGCGATTTACTAAATTTTCTTAGTGGCCAATAAATATATTATTAAAGTCAAGGTATTCTACCATCCAAACTTTAACACTCTACAACACTTTAGGTCACCTGAAGTTTCACTCAATCAATTAGAAACACTTGCTTAAATCCCCTTCCTCTTCCCCTATTTCTCCTACTCTCTTACCTGTTCCAAAACCAATACCAAAACCAAATCCTCTTCTTCTTCTCTGTGTGTACGATGGCAGTAGACATGGTAAGCGCTTCAAGGTTTAGGATGGAAGAACACATGGCCATAGAAGAAGCTGCTTCAGCTGGGTTAAAGAGCATGGAGCATCTCATTCGAGTCCTTTCATCTCAAACCCCTTCTTCTTACAATCATTCTTCTTCTACTCACAACAACCTTAACTGCTCCGAAATCACTGACTTCACCGTCTCCAAGTTCAAACAGGTCATCAATCTATTGAACCGAACCGGTCACGCTCGCTTTCGCCGCGCACCCGAACCCCAACCTGAACCCGAACCCGAACCCGAACCTCAACCCCAGACCAAGGGTATGTCCCTAGATTTCGCCAAACCCAACCTCATAAACTCCAAGCCTAACAAAAAGGACGAAACTCTCACCATCTCCACCACCACCTCCTCCTCCTTCATGTCCTCCATCACCGCCGATGCCAGCGTCTCCGACGGCAAGATAGGCCCGTTCCTCGCTCCTCCCATCTCTGCCGGAAAACCCCCTCTCTCCTCCTCTCACCGGAAAAGGTGCCACGACGCTACCCTCTCCGGCAAAGTCCCCTCCTCCGGCCACTGTCATTGCTCCAAGAGAAGGTATTTATTTTTTTCACTATTTCCTAACACCCTTCTTAACGAATTCACACCAAAAAATAAAAATAAAATAATTTCTTGTTTTTTCTTAGGAAATTACGTGTTAAACGAACGATCCGTGTGCCGGCGATAAGCTCGAAGATCGCCGATATTCCATCGGACGAGTACTCATGGAGGAAGTACGGTCAAAAACCGATCAAGGGTTCACCTTATCCTCGGTATTATTCAATTCCTTCTTCCATCACCGTTCAAAGTCAAATGCTAATCTCAAAGTCTTCGCTTTTTTTAAAATAAAAAAAAAATGAAAATTAGTATTTAAATACTAATACTCATGTTTAATTTGATTTTGTCAGTGGTTACTATAAGTGCAGCACCGTGAGAGGGTGTCCGGCGAGGAAGCACGTGGAGCGAGCCCAAGACGATCCCAAGATGCTGATCGTGACGTACGAGGGTGAGCACCGTCACCCGCAACCGCAAACCGCCGTTACAGGCGGAATCGGTCTCAGCTTCCTGTCTAGCTGAATCAAGCGACGGCGCCGTTTGGAAAAAAAACTTCAGGATCCTCAACGACGGCACCGTTATCGTGACGGTAACGGCGGCTGCGACGTGTAGAGAGAAACGTCAAAACCAAAGTACTGAAGAGAGAGAGAAAATGGAGAGTGGAAGTCAACTTTTGCGTTGTAGCCTTTGACGGAGTCGTCTGAAAAGTTGATGAGGACTTATGTGTAAATTTGACCCATGACTGATGTAGATCTCAAAATGAAATACAGTTTTTTTTTTTTGGCATGATGAAAATAATTTATCTATTTTTTTTTAAGGAGTTTGCATTCATCATTTAACATGATAATAAAAAATTTTTACACGCACAATATTTTGTAGGGCTCACACTTTTTGAAGTAAAAAAAAAATTACGACACGCAAAACAAATCTCTATAATATTATATAATCAATTTTTCTACAACATAACTCTTATAAAAATGTGAGAATATTTATTTGATGATTGGGCCCTCTTATATCTTGTTGTAGAATATTGGTAAAAATAAAGGCATTGTTTTAGCAAAAAGTCAAGGGCACGGTTACGATGGAGGATGGTGAGGGCCCCGGAGAAGGAAGTGGAGTTGGAATAATGATAACTTTAGTATTCAATGACATTATAAGTTAGAGGTAGTAGGGGAAGGAACAGGTCAATGGTTATAATGGGGAATGGGTCCCCTCGCTTGCTACTTTAAAATCGGAGTCTCTTTGGTCTTCTCTTTTTTTTTTTAGTAGAGATAAGGGGTAAAAGCCCGAAAAACACAAAGAAAAATTAGCTAATTAAGGCCCTACAGTCGCGAGCCAGCACCAACTCAATATTGAGAGGAGGGGATTGATGAATAAGCAGGCCATCATCTAGGCCACAGGGGACATGCGCTATGAAGTCGGCACAAGTATTTGCATTTCTGTGACAACAACAAAATTTATCTCCCACTCCAAATTCTTCCAGTTCCTTATATTCTTCACCAGCTGAGTACAGTGGTGAATTTAGAGAATTTTATTTATGTCTACACACTTAGGGGCGAGAGTTCGGGGCGGCGCCCCCTGAAAAATTTTGTACATTAATAAATTGAAGGTCTTTTTCCCAGATCCGTCTCAAGATTTTCTACATTAACTTTTGCTTGAGATTACGGTTCTATATTTGTGGATTTTAGACGTTTGAAATAAGATTGTATCACTGACAAGTCATAATTTATACTTAAATCAATTATACTCATTATATTATTGAAACAATTACAACCTAAAAATCCAAAAGTAAATATCAATTATACCGTTTGTTGCTATTACTTGGCCAAACAAACCTTGAAAATGAATAAGAGAAAATACATGAGAACAGAGCATATATAAGGATTTGGTAATTTAAGATTATTGTTAGCAAATTTTGAACCAAGACAAGATTTTGATATGGGAACTCAAAAACAATACCCAGTTCTTCATTTTGTATCTTTAAATTAAAAAACAAGTGTGTGAAGGAAAAAAGACAACCTTTGCATGGGAGAATAAGAAACTGTAAAATAAGAATGAAACCGGCACAATACGCAGTTCTTCATTTTTGTATCTTAGACGACGTCCAAGCCAAACAATTCCTTATCTCCAACCTCAGACCAGCAGGTAAGAGTCTGACACCTCCTACCATACAACGCCTCGTAGGGTGCCATGTCCAGGCTAGCATGAAAACTGTTTTTGTATGAAAATTCCACCAATGGCAGGTACCTATCCCATGCTGAACTCTGCTCCAACGTGCAAGCCCTCAACATGTCCTCCAATGTCTGGATGGTCCGCTCAGTCTGTCCGTCAGTCTGAAGGTGATAGGCTTTACTCAGTCTCAACTGCGTACCAAAAGCCTCCTGCAGCGCCTCCCAAAACCGAGATGTGAACTTCGGGTCTCTATCACTGATGATACTCTCGGGCACCCCGTGAAGACTCACAATCTTGCGAACATACAGTCTGGCCAACTGCTCAGTAGGGAAGCTCACCTTCACTGGAAGAAAATGGGCAGACTGTGTCAGTCTGTAAACAATGCCCCAAATAGAGTCACCACCAGCCTGAGTATTCTACAATCCCACCACGAAGTCCATGGAAATGCTCTCACACTTCCATTCCGAAATCTCAAGAGGTTGAAATTTACCAGACGACCTCTGGTGCTCAGTCTTCACCTTCTGGCAAATAAAACACTTAGACACATACACCGCTATATCCCTCTTCATACCCGGCCACCAATAGTTTCTCTTCAGGTCCTGTATAACACCTCACAATTTTAAATCAAGTAATTAAAATATAAAGTGAGCAATCAAGTGATGGATTAGTGAAAATCCTAAAGATTAGGCCAAAATACAAAGAAAGGGCAAAACGGTAATTAGCAACACGCAACCCTAGGAAGATAAAAGTTGAGTAGAAGATCTCAGATGATAAAAATAACCCTGTAAATGGATTCAGAACGAAAAATTGAGTTGACAGGCAAGTTTCAGAAAAATCAGTGAATAGTATTTTTCGCGGGTAAAAATATCGCGTTACGATTGCACTGTAAAACGTGCCAGTTGAATTTTGAGCTCTAGGTTTCAAATATGAGTTACAAATGGTCTAATGAGTTAGGAAATATGATTGTTGATAAAATTTGATGAAAGTAAGTCATTTTGGGGAAACGTGCCAACGGCGCGCGCGATAGCTTAAAAATAGTGTTTTCTGCGAACGAATGGAGGACTCTGAATTCATCTGATCAAGCCTAATTAAAGTGGAATAGTTAATGTTAAAAATTAGAGTTTCTAAATAGGCTTTGAATTTACGGACGTTTAGTGAGAGTTTTGACGCGTTTTGAATCGCGTGAGGTGGCGTGAGACCCACCCCACTTGAAAGTCACTTAAACATCTCATCACTCCACTATTCATCATCACCCTCACTTCCTTCTCTCTCCCCAAACCCGAGCTTCAGCCCCTCCCTCTTCCTTATTGTGCAAATTTTTCTTCTCTCCATTAATCACTCAAATCCTAACCAAATCCAACAAAGTTTCACTTGAAATTTGTTGGAAATTGTCTTCCAAAGCCATTGGTGGCCTTGTTGAGCCGTGAAAGTGAGAGGATTTTGAGATCCTCCCCCTCAGAGGCCGCGGATCACATTGGAGTTTTAGGGTTCGTGGAGTTTTCAAATGCTCCAATGGTGAAGTATACTTAGGAGGAGTCATTTGCCTTGCTTTTGGGTGAGTTATTTAAACACTTCATTGGTTGATTCTTGTGATTGAGTTTTGAAAACCTAAACTTTGATTTGAGGAATAGTGATGTTAGAGAGCTTAATTTGAAAATGTGTATTAGATGATAATGTGTTAGAATGATGTATTAAAGCTAGAAATGCGATGAAATTTATTGGTGAAAATTGATGAATTTAACTTAGAAAAATTTGATGATCATGACTTTGGACTTTTGAATTTTGGTGTTGAGACTTTGTATGATGAATTGTGGCATGATGGTATGATGATATAATAGGTTGTGCGAATGTTGGAGTGATTAAAATTGAATGGAAATTCCTTGGAGTGTCAAAGGGCAAAATTCGAACCTTTGAAGAAAAATTGAGGAATGGATGTTGAAAAATGATTTGGATGATGATTGGTGTAGTTAAATGGTACTTAGATGGGTTGTGTTGTGGTTGGAAAGTGTTTGAATCAATGGGAAAAATAAATTGTGTTTAGAGACCTAAATGAGCCTAGAGTGAAATATTTCGCAAAACGATGCGTAAATGTCGTAAAACGGAAAAACGACGATTGAACTAGCCTCTAAGCAACCTAAGGAAGTGTTATAAAATGAGAAAGAAAATTTAGAAAAATAAATCCCCAAATAACACATAGATGGCCGAACCTTCAAGGAGAAAAGGGGAGATTTTGCGGTTTTCGCGTTCTGATGTAATTCGACGCGAAAATAATGAACCGACACTTGAATTGGCCTATTGACAACCTAATGAGGCGTAACAAAATGAGAAGAAAAATTTAGAAAAATAAATCTCAAATTAACACTTGAATGGCCGAACCATCAAGGGAGGATGAGGAGGATTTTGTGAATTTTGCGTTTTGATGCTATTTGACGCGTACTGATGGATGTACGTAATTGTATAGGTTGCCGTACGTTGACTTGAATCCTGAAACTTGAATCTGGGAGTTGCCCTTGGTCCTGGACCAAGTGGATTGAGGTATGTAATTGGTTCAATGCATGTATAATTGTAAATTAGCATGTATTGTTTGAATTATAAGAGATTGGGAATGTCCTCTGTGTAGGCATTCTGCTATGTACCAAGTTGAGGGATAAGCTGCTGCGGAGCTTGTGAAAACAATATTTAAGGTAACCTCTTGGTACTGGGGCTTGTTCCCCTTTTCTGTTCCTCCTTGCCAGTTGATGGCAACGGTAGGAAGTGTGTATGAGTAGTATAGCACACATGAGCATGCATGCATTATTACAATGGGTACTTATGTACCGAGTCTCTGGCCAGTAGACTAGTTTAGCCTGCGGGCAGTTTCGGACTTCCGCTGGATAGGTCTCCGAGAGGGAGTTCCAGTTGACCGTGGGTCATAGTGTGTGATCCGGATAGGAGCACACTATGAATGTCTCAGGTGTTATGGATGGTATGGGTACCTTGGTGGTAGTGATCTGATCACACCTTGGATTATACCCGACGGAATGGGTACCTTGGTGGTAGTGATCTGATCACACCTTGGATTATACCCGATGGTATGGGTACCGGGGTGGTAGTGATTTGATCACACCTTGGGTGGACCCGATGGAATGGGTACCAGGGTGGTAGTGATTTAATCACACCTCGGGTGGACCCATAGGCTTATATATGCCAGGGCGTGCGTGGTATGGGTAGCTACCATCCCGCAGTGTCGTATTTTGTATTCAGATATTTCCCCAGTTTCTCTAAATCTCTTGCTTTATCCCGTTTTCAAAGTGGTTGTTTTATTCTATTGATATGCATCGAAGTGAACCATTGGGTGGAGTTTTCTCCAGAACCTCTTGGTTACTGAGATATATTCGTATATCTCACCCCGTCTCGGGGCATTTATTTCAGGAGGTACCAGTGGAGCCGGAGCAGCGGGCAAGAGGCCCGCAAAGTGAGCAGTGGAGTGCTTCACATTTTGCATTTTGTTGGTCGTGTGGCCTAGGCTAGACTTAGGGCATGAACATCTCATATGTATGTGGTATGAGCTTCATTAGCATATTTGTTCATGCCATTTTGCCTAAGTCTAGTAGTTATGTATTTG